AGTGTCTGCCCAGCTTTAGATGATCAGATCTCATTTCATGACCAAACCGTGTAACAAAAAAAAAGATAATTCCAAATGGTTCACTGTAGCAGTAGCAGAAACTCCTGTACACCAAGTGATAAGTGCACATCTGGACCCAGTAAAATTCTGACCTTGGCGCCCTGGTGGTAGATGGCATTTGGCATGTTCCTGTCCGTCAGGTGCTCTGTGACCTTGTACCAGCTGCGCTGGTACATTTGGATCTGCTGCTCGATCAGTTCTTTGTAGGAACTCTCAGCTTTCTTCTGGGTCACTGTCACCAGCTGGATCAGCTCAGACCTGCACACAAGCACAACCAAGAAACACGAACAGTTCATTTACAACTAGTTCACCTGACAGTTTGTAATAACAAATAATCACACTGTTCCATGTAACCACTAGTCTCTGAACACATGGGTCACATTATGACACATGATGAAATACTGCTATGCTGTTAAACATTTCTATGTTACTATTTTGTCAAGATCAAGGACACTGCAACTAATTATTGTCTGCATTCACTGTGTTGTTGATCATTTTTGTTGGTAAAAGGACCAGTTATTAAAATTATTCATTCATTTTTGACTTGATTGGCAAATCATTTCACTTGAACTCATGCATTTGAAAATGACTGACCAAACTGTGAAGAAGGCACATTCATGGTTCTGTAGCTAAAACCTGGCATGGTTAAAATTACTGTAAAATAAATCAGCATGATCAAATCAACGCATGTTGTCTGTGTTGTTTGAAGTGGAACCTGTGTGATCACAGATCACTCACAAGCCTGCGTGACGCCATGAACAGAAACTCGTACTCACTTCTCCAGGGACTTGAGGATGTAGTTGTAATTGTTGTGCAGGAAAATGGCGCTGAGAGCAGAGTCCTCGTACACTTTGGATTTACTGAGCAGGTTCAGCTGCAGGTTCCCCAGCACTTTACCTGTGAGGAGAAGAACAGCCATAGAACACATGGTAAAAATAAACATCCTGTTTCTCCACATTAACAGTCTGATTCAGAGCTAGTTGATCTGCTTGATTTACTGACATATGACTAAAATGTCAACTAGGACGTTCTGACTGTTGAAGCTGATGGTTTTGATGTCTCGAGCAAAGAAGCTGATAATTGAATCGAAACCAGGAGAGTCTCTGGCTGAGCCCAGCTGCAGATATACTGCAGCCACTTAACACTGTCTAGGAAGAGTCGAAGGGACTTGGACTTCCAGAACTCCTGACATACAGTGGGTACAGAAAGTATTCAGGGGTTTTGGTTTTCTTTGTCTAACTCAAGAGTGTGCGGACAGTGTGGTTTGTGCTTCTAGTCGATAGCAATAAAACTAACTTGGAGTGTAGGTTTTCTTGTTTACTTACAGATGTAAGTGCTGAGGAGCCTTTTGTTAAACTCAGAGGTGTAGCTGCTCGATGATGAACTTGTCTCTGAAAATAGACAAAAGGTGTTAGCGCTTCAACAACAAGCCACACTGATCAGTTTTGCTGCATTTTATCTTCTAACACTTGTTTTCTATTTCGGTCAAGAGTGGGAAAAACAAACCGTCTCCATTATAACGCTCCTTCTGAGGCTAAGTATTAATTGCAGTGAAACACTCAGGTACTTTTTGTCAAGCTGCACTTCAGCACATG